CTGGCCAAATTAGGTCAGTGGGGGGCACAGGGGGACTGGCCTCTTCGCTTTCCCCTGCAGGAATTCCCCTGCCCTGCCACTATATACTGCCCTGTATTGCTTCTACATACAACCCTGCCACTACACACTGCCTTACCCCTATATCCTGCCCTGCCTCCACATACTGCTCACTGCTATGCTACTGCATATTACCCTTACCTGCAACTAAATGCTGCCAACTATCCTGATCTGCCATTATATATTGCCCACTGCCTTTACCTGCTGCTAAATGGTGCCTACTGCCCTGCTTCTATATACTGCTCTGACACTACCTACTGCCCCACCACTACAAACTGCCCTGCCAATACATATTGCCCACTGCCTTTACCTGCTGCTAAATGGTGCCTACTGACCTGCTTCTACATTCTGCTCTGACACTACCTACTGCCCCACCACTACATACTGCCCCACCACTACAAACTTCCCTGCCTCTACAAACTGCCCACTGCCCTTGCCTGCCACTAAATGTTGCCTACTGCCCTGACCTGCCATTACATAATGCCCACTGTCCTTACCTGCCACTAAATGCTGCCTACTGCCTTGACCTACTACTACATATTACCCATTGCCCTCTGCTGTCCTGACCTGCCATTACATAGTGTGCAATGTCCTGATATGCCACTATATACTGTGTTGACCAGCCACTGTACACAGCTCTGCACTGCCATTTCATGCTGCTCACTGCGCTGCACTGCAAACTGTTCAACAAACATTCTCTATATACTTCCCCACATGGAACAAAACTATATATTTGAAATATATTTTAAAAATATTCTTCCCAAATATATTGACATATATTTGAAATGCTACAATTTTGGCCATATATACAGTGGGGATCGAAAGTTTGGGCACCCCAGCTAAAAATTTGTATTAATGTGCATAAAGAAGCCAAGGAAAGATGGAAAAATCTCCAAAAGGCATCAAATTACAGATTAGACATTCTTATAATATGTCAACAAAAGTTCAGATTTTATTTCCATCATTTACACTTTCAAAATAACAGAAAACAAAAAAAATGGCGTCTGCAAAAGTTTGGGCACCCTGCAGAATTTATAGCATGCACTGCCCCCTTTACAAAGCTGAGACCTGCTAGTGTCATGGATTGTTCTCAATCATTGTCTGGGAAGACCAGGTGATGTCAATCTCAAAGGTTTTAAATGCCCAGACTCATCTGATCTTGCCCAACAATCAGCACCATGGGTTCTTCTAAGCAGTTGTCTAGAAAACTGAAACTGAAACTGATAGTTGACGCTCACAAAGCTGGAGAAGGCTATAAGAAGATAGCAAAGCATTTTCAGATGTCAATATCCTCTGTTCGGAATGTAATTAAGAAATGGCAGTCATCAGGAACAGTGGAAGTTAAAGCAAGATCTGGAAGACCAAGAAGAATATCAGACAGAACAGCTCGCAGCAAATTTTGGATGGTAACTTGATGCCATCTGTGAAAAGGCTGAAGTTAAAGAGAGGATGGCTTCTACAAATGGATAATGATCCTAAAACACACCTCGAAATCCACGGGGGATTACATCAAGAGGCGTAAACTGAAGGTTTTGCCATGGCCTTCACAATCTCCTGACCTCAACATAATTGAAAATCTATGGATAGACCTTAAAAGAGCCGTGCGTGACAGACAGCCCAGAAATCCCAAAAGAACTGGAAGACTTTTGTAAGGAAGAATGGGCAAAGATACCTCAAGAATTGAAAGACTCCTGGCTGGCTACAAAAAGCGTTTACAAGCTGTTATACTTGCCAAAGGGGGCAGTACAAGATATTAACTCTGCAGGGGGCCCAAACTTTTGCAGACGCCATTTTTTTGTTTTCTGTTATTTTGAAAGTGTAAATGATGGAAATAAAATCTGAACTTTTGTTGACATATTATAAGAATGTCTAATCTGTAATTTGATGCCTTTTGGAGATTTTTCCATCTTTCCTTGGCTTCTTTTATGCACATTAATACAAATTTTTAGCTGGGGGTGCCCAAACTTTCGATCCCCACTGTATATTGAATATGGATAAAATTGTAGCATTTCAAATATATGACATTATATTTGGGAAGAATATTTTTAAAATATATTTCAAATATATTTTTCTTCCATATGGGATCTCTGCACTGAAACTACATACTGCGGCCGCACATTGCACACACTTGCGACTGACAGTCACAGCTAGCAGAGAAGGGGGAGGGGTAGACAGTACAGGGTATGTATGAATGTAACTTAGGGACCTTAGATTGTACACCCCTTGAGGGTTAGGGACTGATGTGAATGTACAATATATATGTAAAGCGCAGCGTAAATTGATGTCGCTATATAAGTACCTATAATAAATAAAGGTTTCTTGCCCCCATCTCCAACTTGCGACTGGTCATTGAACAGAGAAGCAGTACGCTAATGAGCTTATCTGTCACTGTGCTCTCCCGTATCATCATGTGTCTTGTAATGCAGTATACCTGAATGGCTAATTGTGCTGCTATTCAGCTCTGCTGTACTGGAACTATAAAAGGCTGATACCAAGAAGTTCAGATATTTAAATTGATTGCATTTTAAAAATGCATGCAAGAACACATAGTTATGATAACGTGTATCTTTTATTTATGCCTGAAGTTCAGCATTGATATAATACACACAAATGTTGCTGGTGGCACTGTGTGATCTACTCTAGCATTCCCTGTGCTGAGTGTAAAGTAAAGCTGCTATATATTGATAACCTAAATTGCATAGAGAATCATTCTTAATTCCTCTTTCTTTATTTTCACAAGTCTTGTGAGATTTCAGGCACAGAGGAATCAATGTACAGTCAGGGCTGTACAGGAAGAAGACTGCTGATAGTATACATCACATAACCAGCATGCCAGGAAGATTGCTCATATCTCTACAATGGTAAGATGAATCTCAGTATGCAGTGGGTAAGGTCAGGCTCTGGCCACCAAAACACAAACTGCATGGATAACCATTTTACGCATTTCAGTAAAATCAGGTGTAAAGGCTATGCAACCAAAACAAGGCCGCAAAGAACATCACCTAAACTGTGTAATAGCGCATAGCAAATTTTGTGAATCAGTCAATCAATTCCTTCTGAAAGCTATTTATTGGATGCCATATGACTGATTCCATTGTCTTCTGAAGAGATTAGGGATGCAGGTGTGGGTGTAAAGCAGCGGCACTAAAGCCGGCCATACACGGGATGAATTCCAAAATAATTTTCTTTCGAAAATCTTTTCTATGAATTTTTTGTTCAAATTTCGCACCATTAGTGGGTCACAAAAACGGCCAATTTTCATGTGACCATCTAATTTGAGTGATCAGGCATGTTGAAAATTTATGGAAAAACAAACAAATTTCAAATCAATGATGGGAGAATCGTGAGAGAAATATAAACGGAAAAGAAATGAGCATGAGCTGTGACCTGGAAAGAAAAGAAAATTGTTGGCCACGAAAATTCTTTTCTGTAGCAATATGAGGTTAAACTGAAGGCTTGGTTGTTTGAATTTCCAAATCAATGGTGGTGCCATTGGGTTACAAAACACACTAAATTTCTGATTTTCTAGAGAAAATTAGTTTGGAATTCAACCTATGTATGGCCTGCATAAGTATCACTTTCTGCTGGCAGCAAGCTGCTGTCACTGCCATTCATCAGTAGGGGGCGGTGCTCAGCATGGAGCAACTGCATGGGAGTAGTTGGCCTCTTCTTCCCCAGTGACAGTATTTGGATCTAGGAAGTGGCTCTCTCACCACGCCGTGCTGCTGTTTAGAAGATACAGCAGAGGAAAGCATGACAACACTGTAGAAAAATCATCAATTTTCCTACAACCTTATCACCTTTCAGCTGGAAGTGGTCGTAAAGCCTTATTACTGGCAGGATCAAAAGATATGTTGCAGCATTTTATACAGGCAAATAAGAAATACAGTATATTGAGATATCACTCTTTGGCTTTTGCCTGGACATACACTTTAGGAATACAACAAATATTGTAACTTTTTTTTGTACAAAGGCTACTCTAAGACAGTAAAGTACAATTGTTTCCCTCTCCCATGATAATGTCAAGTAATTTCTTACCTGTTGAGGACTGCTAAAGTTGGTTGAATTTGAGACTGAATTATTTGCATAAATACTAGACGATGGGGTAAAACTAGAACCTAAAAGAAAAATATATGATCATACATTGGCATGGACAATACGTACAATACAACATCAAATGCACAGTTACAACACAGTAAGTAAAGTTGGCCATACATGGATTATAATTCTGTCATTTCAGCAGGAATCAGATGGATTTCCATCCATGTATGGGTAGGTTGGTTGTACAGATGTTTGTCTACTGATTAACTTCTGTACAGATAGCCTGTTGAAAAATTTCCACTCAATCTGAGCTGCGGCTATAGCCAGCAGTGCTGATCAGTGTATTCTGATGGTGGGAAAGTCTTGTCACTGTCAGAATGCAATACCTCGGCAGGAGTGATTCAAGTCATTTGTTTTTTGTTCATGTGGGATATTGAAGGAAAAAAAAATGAAACATGTATGGGCTGCTTAAACCACTTGCCCTCCAGAGAATTTACCCCCCCCCCCCCCCTTACTGACCAGGCCATATTTTGCGTTATTTTAACTGACAATTGTGCGGTCATGCAACGCTGAACCCAAATGAAATTTACGTCACACATTGAGCTTTCTTGCGGTGGTATTTGATCGCCTGTGCATTTTTTATTTTTTGCGATACAAACAAAATAAGGCCAACAATTTTGAGAAAAGCAATATTTTTTTGACTTTTTGCTATTAAACATGTCCAGTAAAAAAAATAAAAAAATCAAATTCCATCATAAATTTAGGCCAAAATGTATTCTGCTACATGTCTTTGCTACAAAAAATCCCACTACATGTAAATTAATTGGTTTATGTGAAAGTTATAGCATTTACAAATGGCAGTATAGATACTGGAATTTTTTTTTACTAGCAATGGTGGTGATCAGCGACTTAGAGCGGGACTGCAGTGGGCATTCTGACACTGGGGGGAACTGACTTGGTGTCACTGACTTCCCCAGTGACACCAATACAGTGATTAGTGCTAATAAAAAGCACTGACATTTTTCTAATGACACTGGACAGAAGGGGTTAACATGTGGGGCGATCAAAGGGTTAACTATGTGATGTTTTACTATAAGCTGTGTGTGTGTGCGCTTCAATGTAAGCATACTGCTTTGCATGGCTCTGCTATACAAAGCCATGCAAAGCAATGTGCAGGAGCTGACAGGAGAGAACTGTATTGTTTACTTACAGTTCTCTCCCTCCGTTGGTAATGCTCCTCGATCACCGGGTGTCGGCAAATAATCACTGGCCGGGACCCGGTGATTGACATACGAGGCCGCAAATAGCGGCGCGAATAGGACACACGCACAGCTCGAGCGCGCCCCCTACCCGGAAATGCAAAATCACATATATATATATATGTGATTTTGCACACCCCTGCTGCCCTGCTGCTATAGGGCAGTGGGAGAGCGGTTAACTCTCATGTGTAATTAGTATCCTATGATCATTGATGTTCTATGACCAACAGCACCAAGCATATCACTGTACTAACACTGAGTGACACCAATACAGTGATCAGTGCTAACAAAAAGCACTGACACTGTACTAATGGCACTGGGCAGGAAGGGGTTAACATCTGGGGCGATCAAAGGGTTAACTGTGTGCTGTTTCACATTATGTGCAGAGCCATACAAAGCAGGGTGCAGGAGCTGACAGGGGAGAGATCTGTGTTTTTTTTACACAGGTCTTTCCCCTAGTGGTAATACTCGGTGATCACCGGGTGCCGGAGAGTAATCACCAACTGTGACCTGGTGATTGACAGCTGAGGCCACAAATGGAGGTGTGGGCTCCCTACCTGCAATGCAAAATGCAAAATAAAGTATATATTAATGCAAAATAAAGTATATATATATGTGATTTTGCACACCCCTGCCACCCTGTAGCAGTGTTTCTGCTACAGGGCAGCGGGAAAGCGGCTAATTACAACAAAATGCAAACATCACAAAACATCAGTTGAAAGAAACCAGAATTTCACCTTAAACTAGAGCCACGTGCATTATGCTGCACATGGCATACGCTTTGAGATTTTAGTTAGCATACCTGGCATCTGGTAGGAGTATGGGGTTTGGCCTGGCTGAGGTGTAGAGAACCCGGGGCTGTAGCTTAAGCAACCACTTTGAAGCGGAGACTGAGTTTGTGGAAGTCCACTTTCTGTTTTGATTCCCGGAAGCATTACTCCCAGATCTGCATAAGATAAAAAAAACTTTGTAAGAGAGAAAGAATAAAGGTCAAAGGAAAATACACATAATGTAGAAGACAAGCATACCGTAGGTTGGTAAACTGTAAGGCTGTCCAGTCTGTGAGTATGCTGTGTAAACGGTAGGCTGTTGCATTCCAGAGTATTGGGTTTGGCCAGCATAGGCTGACATTGTCTGAGCAGCTGGAGTTGATAGAATGTGAGGATAAGGCCTAAAAAAATAAAAATCAATTCAGGTTAATTTAAAGTATTTGTAAATTTCAAAACAAAAATGCAGATTAGCAGGATTTCACCTGGTGATCTTGCCAGTAACACACTTCCTGTCCCAGGTAACAATGTGTCCTCACCAAAATGTATTTATGAAGGAGCAACATTGTAGGACAGAAAGTGTGTTAGAAACTTTATAACTCTGCCTCAAATGACACCACCAATCTTGCCTCTAAATATCACGCAAACTGTCCTCTCCGCTCCTCGCACAACCTCCTACTCTATACCTCCCTTCTCCCCATGCTCGTCTCCAGGACTTCCCCAGAGCCTCCCCCATCCTCTGGAACTCTCTACCCTAATTTATCAAACTATCGCCGACTCTAATCACTTTTAGGCGATCTCTGAAAACCTATCTCTTCAAGGAAGCCTATCCTGCCTTCAGCTAATAATGGAATCTTCTATTCCTCCTACCAGACCATCCCCCACAGTTATTACCTTTTGTACCACTAGTACCCTCTTAGATTGTAGATTGCTCCAAGGAACAGGGCCCTGCTAACCCTCTTGTATTGAACTGTATTGTTGCTGTATTGTCTCCCTTTATATTGTAAAGCGCTGAGCAAACTGTTGGCGCTATATAAATCCTGTATAATAATAATAAAAATAATAATAATAACTATAGAATGACTCCCTCTACATCTCCATAACATGAGCGAAGTGTTCTGTAGTTCTAACACACTTGATAATAACACTACCTAAGATAACACCGTAGAGGGCACAAGACACAGGGCAGCACTGTATTTTTTGTCAGGTTTAACAGGTTTGTTTTTTTGGGGGGGGATTGCTGCGCTTATCCAACAGATATACAAAAGCACTTTCAGTGGTATACTACACTGACCAAAATGGAGCAGATGGGGTCGATTTACTAAAGACATAAAGGCCCTTCACTTTGCAAGGTAAGCTGCATGGTGCAAGGAGATTTTAACCAGAACTTAGTAGATATGGTGAAATTTCACTTTGCAATAAAAACTCAATCATGTGCAAGAAAAATTAGAAAACTATTTTTGTTTGCGCATGATTGGATGATGGAAGTCAGCAGAGCTTCACCTCAATAAGCTCTGGGGCAGTGGCTTCCCTAGGTGGGTGCGGGGGGTGGGCGCCGCACCGGGTGACACCTATCCCACCAGGTGACACCGGACCCTCTCCACGAGTGCCACGAAAAGGAAAATTTTAAAGCAAGCCAACGATCCCTGCAGGATGGACCGGATCTGCGGATTGAGCATAATGGATCGGAGTCCGATCCATTATGCTCCCCAATCCGCAGATCCAATCCATTTTGCGGGGATCATCAGCTTGCAACCTATACGGGGTTAACTGATCTAGGTAAGGCTGTGCAGGATCTGGGACTTGTCTGTAACCAAGAAATGCGGACGCGATAGCAGGAACCTCCTCCATCTGACATCACTTCTCGAGCATGTGCAGACCAGACCAGTGTTGAAAGATCAGTTAACCCCGTATAGGTTGCAAGCCGACAATACCCGCAAGATGGATCGGATCTGCGGATTGAGGAGCATTATGGATCGGACTCCGATTTATTATGCTCAATCCGTAGATCCAGTCCATCCTGCGGTGATCGTTGGAGGGGTGACACCAAGGGTTACCGCACCGGGTGACTCTAACCCTAGGGACACCCCTGCTCTGGGGAAAATTTCTTTGCAAAGTGCAACTTTCCTTGCAAAATAAACATTCTTTTGGAAACACATGAGAGATGTTCATTTTTAAATTTACATACGCTTTAGCACTTTAAGATATTGTTTTAGCTATTCTTAGGATGGCTATCGGTAAAATATTAAACATGTAGTGTTTATGTATAAAAAGCAAGCCAACAGGAATAATTTCTTGATATGAAAATAATTGCTTCTTTTTTGTGATTTTTGCTTGTACATGATTGGGCTTTCATAGTAAACACAGCTTCACCACACTCAATAACATTTTCTTTCCAAGTGAACATACACTTTTTAAAATAAACATCCGCTTTTCTAAGTGAACAGCCTCTACTCCTATTTAGTAAATCCATGTCCATTTATCCTGAAAATGTCAAACCACATGTTAAAATGTTATTTTGTGAATGTTTTACCACGTTTGGGGGAGAGGGATGCTAGTCTATATACTTTTCAATATTTTGTATAGTCATCTTTCCATTTCAACTAATTATGATAGGAGCAAAAACAAGTAATATTTAGCTTCAAGTAAAAGGGAAGTTTTTTTAAAATGAGAAAAGCAGTCATTTTCATATTTAAATCAGGTCCAAAAGCAGCGTGTATTACACTGGGCATTTAGAGAAAAAATGGTGAACCAAAGACTGCAGATTTTGTTGCCCCCAGTCTTTCAAAGACACACAATATTTCCACTTTTCTTTCCTGGCTGTAAGCCTCTTAAGCTTGGTATACACTAGTAGAATTTCGATCATAAATTATTAGGAAAATTTGTATGAAGATTCTTAGAACATTCAAACGTTAGAAAGACTTATTTGCTTTTAACATTCAATTTTGGAATGAATGGACTTTACCCGGTTCCGCGCCGCCATTCGCAGCCTCCGTTGTCAATCACCGGGTCCCGGCTGGTGATTATTCGCTGGCACCCGGTGATCGCCGAGTATCTCCGACAGGGCAGAGACATGTGCATAAACAACAATGTTCTCTCCCCTGTCATCTCCTGCACATTGCTTTGTATGGCTCTTCATAGCAGAACCATACAAAGCAGTGTGCTTACAGTGAAGCACACACACAGCCCCCATAGTGAAATAGCACACAGTTAACCCTTTGATCGCACCAGATGTTAACCCCTTCCTGCCTAGTGCCAATAGTACAGTGTCAGTGCTTTTTATTAGCACTGATCACTGTATTGGTGTCACTGGGGATGTCAATGACAACAAATCAGTTCCCCCCAGTGTCAGAATGCCCACCGCAGTCCAGCTATAAGTCGCTGATCGCCTATATTACTAGTAAACAATAATTAAAAATTCCAGTATATATACCGCCATTTGTAAACGCTATAACTTTCACGTAAACCAAATAATTTACAAGTATTGGGATATTTTTTTTTTAGCAAAGACATGTAGTAGATTACATTTTGTCCTAAATTTATGATGAAATTAGATTTTTAAAATTTTTTTACTGGACATGTTTAAAAGTCAAAAAATATTGTTTTTTTCTCAAAATTGTTGGTATTTTAGTTTATAGTGTAAAAAATAAAAAAACGCAAAGGCGATCTAATGCCACCAAAAGAAAGCTCTATGTGTGGGAATAACAGGATGTCAATTTCATTTGCGTGCAGTGTTGCATGACCACACAAATGTCAGTTAAAGCAACGCAGTGCCATATCGCAAAAAATGGCCTGGTCAGGAAGGGGGGTAAATCCTCTGGAGGGCAAGTGGTTACTAAACTAAAACCACATCCTGTTCCTTCACATTTTCTTGTCACTGCAGTTGAAAACAAACATCCTTTTGACCCCATTAATGATTAGAAAAACAAATGAATATTCTTACAAAGTTCTTACAACAAAAAATGTGAATGAAATTCTACTAGTGTGTACCCAGCTTTAGATACTTTACAATAAGCCTCACCTTTGCCTATAGATTCTCACACCGCTAATGGAATTTGGCTTATTGTTTTCTTTGTCCTATGATTACAAGACTGGCAGAAGTAGCCAATGATACAACATAGTGACTGGATTTAATGGCAGTTCAGATGTATGCTTAGGGCACCTACAGGGGCTGGAAAAAAATGGAATCACTTCATGATTTTCAGGTGAGAAAGTGATTAAATGCTTTGCTTTGAAAGCGGAAGTGATGTAACACTTCTGCTGTGTGATGAGACACCTAGCTAACAAGTAGAAAGCCTCACTTCCTTCATTAACTGTATGCGCTGCTGGCAATACGGAGTCATGTCAGAGCTTACTGAGCTTTGAAGAGGGTAAATTGTTGCTGTCCACTTAGCTGGTGCCTCTGTGACGGAAGTTGCCTATTTATTTGCAGTATCGCAAAGTACAGTATCAAAGGTTATGACGGCATATATAGTTTCCGGGAAAACGTCATCTGATGAGCATAGGCGAGGTCGACATAGTCCACTGACCAATAGAGACAAAAGCTGCAAAAGTGACTGCAGAGCTCAATCTCAGTCTTCACAGTCTTAAAAAAAAAAAGAGCCCTAAAACCAATTAAGCTTCTCAAAGTACCAGTAATAGGGTGGAATTGAATTAAATTTCTGCTTTCTTCCTTAACCCCTTCACGCCTAAGGGTAAAACAAATCTAAAGGCCTAAGCACAATTCTGCATC